TGTTGCCTCACTTTCTTGAAAAAATTCAGTTTTTATCCCATCAATTTCTGGTGCCTTATTCTTTACCAGTGTCTTCTATGCACTTTGGACTTCTTCCTTCAAGATCACTGGTTCTTGATCATATGCTACCTCCTGAAATGTTTAAACATCGACCATTTCTTTTTGGTACCGTGACTCTATATATCCCATCCATCTTCTTTTGATATTTTCTGCATCATTCAATAATTTGTTCAGAGAATCCATCAAAATTGCTCATTGATGCTTGAATTTTTTCTTCAGTTTCCTCCGCTTGAGAAATGCGGAGTGTTTTCTTCTCTTTTGGTTTTCTAACTCCAGGTCTTTGCATGATTAATTATAACATTCCAATTTTGAAATTTTCTATTCAGTTCTTATTGTCCTTGTGTTGTTGTTAAGTGCCATCAAGTCGATTCCGACCCATAGCGACCCTGTATAGGGTTTCCAAGAAGCAGCTGGTGAGCTTGAACCACCAACCTTGCAGTTCAAATGACTTTGCACTCTGACACATTAGCCCACAGCACCACACCAGGACACCTTTATTGTCCTTTGTTGTTATTGTTAAGTGCTGTCGAGTCAGTGCTGACCCATAGCGACACTGTATAGGGTTTCCAAGGAGCAGCTGGTGAACTTGAACTGCTGACCTTGCAGTTCAAACAGATTTGCAGTCTGGAGCTTTAACCCACAGCGCCACACCCAGACTCCTTATTGTCCTTAGAGATTGTTAAATATTAATACAGATTACTTTCAAATCAAAGAGCAAAAGTCAGAGCCAGGAGAGATAAGCTAGCTTGGGCAGAGCTCAATGAAGTCTGTGGTTTGCACAATGTAAACTATTCATCACTGTCATTTGGCTCTAAACTCGTTCAGCATGGCCGGCCTTCTCCAAGCACATCAGAGGGCTTCCGCGGGGGTTTTCTTGTTAGCACTGTGGGGGGTGGTTGGAGGAGGCAAGCTGTTGGTTCTTCCTCTGGATGGGAGCCACTGGCTTAGCATGAAGGAGGTAGTTGAGCATCTCGGCAAGAGGGGGCATGACGTTGTGGTGTTGGTGCCAGAAGTCAATCTGTTCCTGAGTGACTCAAAATACTACACAAGAAGAACCTATGCAGTGCCCTATTCCCAGGACGAGATGAAGGACCGTATTCAAACCTTCGGAAACAACATCTTTGCTGAGAAATCTTTCCTGATCAATCCTATGGCTGAGTACAGGAATGTCATGCTTGTTGGTTCCCTTTTCTTCACCAACTGCGAGAGTCTTCTGAAGGACTCAGAGACTCTGCAGTTCCTCAGAGAGAGTAAGTTCGATGCTATTTTCACAGACCCAGCTTTCCTCTGTAGCATGATCCTGGCTGAGTACCTCGACCTGCCCTCCGTGTACTTCTTCCGGGGCATCCCAAGTGCCCTAGAGCAGATGTTCAGCGGAAGCCCCAACCCTGTGTCCTACATTCCCAGAGACTATACTCAGTTCACAGACCAGATGACTTTCTGCCAGCGGGTGATCAACTTTCTTGTTAATTTGTTGGAGGTCCCTATTATTAAATTTATTAATTCAAAGTTTGAAGATATTGCCTCAGATCTCCTCAAGAGAGATGTGGACTTAATCACCTTAGGACAGAAAGGCTCCATCCATCTTTTAAGATACGACTTTGTGTTCCAGTACCCCAAGCCCATCATGCCCAACATGGTCTTCATTGGAGGGACCAACTGCAACAAGAGGGGACACTTAACTCAGGTGGGTGGTCTTACCTATCTTTGACTTGCCCCCCCCACCCCCATCCCATCCCACATCTGTTCCTGTTGTCATCTCTGGGTTGCAGGGTTCTTAAGAACTTCTTTATTCTGGGATGTGCGAGGTAAAAAGGAAACCTAAGGAATGCATTGTCGTGTTGTTCCTCCTGTCACAAAATCCCTAGCTGGTCTACTTTCTCTTCACCTATCAGGTTCTTATGTTTGTTTTTATATATAATGTCCAGGTTTTTAGTTAGACTAAAGATCAAAATGGCACATCAAGTTGTATCAAATACAACCCAAAGGTTTGTGCATACAGGGGTCTTTTATAACCAGGACTAAGTACCAAGAAGTACCAAGCCATTTGAACTGCAAGGTCAGCAGTTCAATCTCACCAGCTGCTCCTTGGAAACCCTATACAGGGTCGCTATGGGTCAGAACCAACTCGATGGCACTTAACAACAACAAACAGTATCAAGAAGAGTGTTCCCCTAATATAAATTGCCAAGTTTATAGGTAAAAACTGCCATGCTGTAAACTTTGAAAAAAGTATAGTTTTAAGCTTCCAAAACACCAGTATTTAGTTGCAAAGATTTGAAAAGGAAAGCTTGATATGACTGAGAATTTAAGCATGAGGGTTAATTTTTAAATGTGTCTCTTTGTTGCAAGAATGTCTGTGAACCGCTGGAGATGGGATTCATATTTTTTTTCTTAATATGTGTTATTTAAATGTGGCTGTCTATTTAATTTAATTAATATTTAACACATGATATAGAAAGTCAACAAAATTTGAACAAATACATCTGGAACAAACCACTTTATTCTATTCAAATCATCATTTAATAACGTTGTATATTTTAAATGTAATAACCTACTTGAGAGTGGTTAGAGTTAAGTAGATCATGCTTTCAAAAGTGATTTATCAGCTGTGACGTGCTGTGTCATATTAGGTATCATTGTAGTCATTTTTATGGCTTGTCCATCATATATGTTTTAGGATAAGTTAGCCCAAGAAAAAGAACTGAGTATAATGATGTGTCTTAGAAAGTGGGCAGATCACTCATATGTGTTCTTTCCTCTCATTCAATGGACAATCTCTGTCCACTGAAATGCGGATGAGTTGCCTGATGAAATGGCTGTCTTCCTTCTACTAGAGGGTAAAGGGGTCCCACGCAGAGGATGTGAGTGACGTCAGGACTGGTGCTTGGTCATCTAGGACGAGTGTCAAAATCACAGTAGGAACTACACGTGTTGTTGAGACAGAGGAGAAGATGTAAAGGGGACAAGAGCCAGGAGGTCAGTCCAGGTTGAAACCTATTCTCCAGATTCTGCCCCATGCATTCTCTCTGGACCCAAAGCCAGGGGTCAGCAAGCTGTGACCCTCCCCACCGCCCTGACAATACCCCCTGGGAGAAAGATGAGGCAGTCAGCTTCCACAACCTTAGAAAGTTGAATTCTGGGTAGATAAAGAGAACAAAATCCAAAATTGCCAGGT